TTATACAACCCCCTTCCCCAAGTCCACAATCTACTTTACTATGCATTTCTTCTTCTGGACTCTTGTCATGAAAATAATATTGAGTCATATATTCCTTTTAAACAGTTTTCTCCCTCATTTGTTTCAATGCAGTATAAATTATTTATCCCCTCTTTTCTTAAGACTCCCTCCACCCCTGATATCCTGTTTTACAACAATGGCACTATGCAGTATTTATCCTTTTGTGACTGAGATATTTCACTCAGCATAATGTCCTCCAGGGTCACCCATTATGTATAATAGTTCATGAGTTCCTTGTTTTTCAATGCAGTGTAGTATTCCATTGTATGAATATACCAAACCTTCTCTAGCCATTCATTTGTAGATTGGCAATTTGGTTGTTTCCAATGCTTTGCTATTGTGAACAAAGCCACAATAAAAATGGGTGTGCATATATTTGCTTGGGTGGTAAATCTGGTTTCTTTTGGGTATATTCGAGTAGTGGAACTGCTGGGTCAAATGGTATTTCTATTTGCAACTTTCTGAGAAAGCAACATACAGCCTTCCATAGTGGTTGCACCATTTTACACTCCCACCAACAGTGAATAAGGGTTCCAGTTTCTCCACAACCTTGCCAGCATTTGTTGTTTGCCGCTCTGTTGAGTTTTGCTATCCTTACTGGGGTGAGATGATATCTCAGAGTTGTTTTGAATTATCTGCCTCTTAAAACCTTGTGGAGGGTCAGCTATAGGTCGTTTCTGACTCAATAGTACTCAACAACTAACCCCATATAAATAAATAGAAAGGTATTTCATGTTAATGTATTCAAAACTCACTGTTAAAGATATCAGTATTACCCAGAGTGATTTGCAGAATCGATGCAACCCCACACAAACTCCCCACAGTCTTCTCATGGAAATACACACACACAGATTTACATTTTTCTGTAAATAAATTACAAAATTAGGAACGCATACCGATATTCCCAACTCTAATCCAGTGCCTTAAGCCTTAATGTTATTTGCTTTCAGTGTTGTAATTCCTTCATTTAGAAATGTGACTATCATTTTCTTTACTCACTCACTCACTCAACACACTGCCATCAAGTTGGAGGTGATTCACAGGTGACTCTCCAGCAGTTTTTCACAGGCTGCAAACTGCATGGAAGAAGACTGTCCATGCTTCTCCCTTGGAAATGCTCGTGGATCTGACCTGCCACAATGGTGCTGCCCCTGAGGGAGCAGTGCAACTCCCAATGGACTACACCATGACAGCTCCCTCAATGTCTTCAGTATATTTATTTATGCTAATTCAAGTAATTTATTAGCTCAATGTTACCAATCTCCTAACCATTGGAGGACCATCTCAACTCCTTTCTCTCATTCTCCTTTCTTAAAATGACAACTTTGGTACTGTCGACATCTCTACAACATTGCATCCACAAGCAAAGAGAAGAAAAGACAAAAAGGGCAGATGGTTTTAGAAACACTTTTAATAATGAGTAGTACTAATAAAAGATACTAAAAACTTCAAAAGAAGGAAAAATTCACTGAAGAACAGATTTATATCATATGCTGCTACCAAGCAGAACTATATGGTAAAAAGACAGGATTCCAGAAAGTCTCGCTACATACTTTGTGGCACCCTGTGTAAACGCTACTAGCGCACCTATGCAAAACAGAAACCCAGGGCTTTAGTTAGTGAATTACTAACTTGACATTTAGTAATGTCAAGATGATGACAGCAGAACATTAAAACAAAGTCCTATGCTCATGAAGCTGGCCTTGATTATCTGAAACCTCAAATCAGCCAAAAAAAAAAAAACAAACAAAAGCATTAGAGTAAAAACCTCAAACTTGCCATCCAGTTGGAACTGACTCATGGCTGACTCTCTAGTGGGTTTTGGGGGGCTGTAAATCACATAGGAGTGCCTATCTTTGTCCCTTGGAGCAACTGGTGGATTTGAATTGTCAAGTTAGTTAAAGGCCCAATAAATCAGGATTTTACTAATTAATGCTGACAGCTCATAAATGTCTTTAAACTATGTCACTAAAAAATGCAACATGGACGTTAATGGTCTTTGATAGTGGCATGCCTGGAGTGTACCAGATGGAACTTCTTTCTCAATAAGGAATAGAAATGTGGCAATCTCTGCTTTCGGTGATCAAGCCCTTCCTGCTGAAAAGGCCAGACAGGAGTCGATAAATGCTGAGGCTCTTCTACATGTAAAGTACTGTAGTAGTCTCTCTAGAATACATAAAGGAGCACTGTTACAGCCCTCTGACTTAAAACACAAACTCTGCTATCCCAGGAATTTCCCACCTCTTTCCTCTTTCCATTGCCCTGTCCCCTTCCCTTTTTGAACATTTATACTATCTTGCTCTGTTATCCTTCTGTTTCTCACAACAGTGGCCTTATGCAGTACTTGTTCTGTTGTGACTGAGTTATTTCACTCAACATAATGTTCTCTAGATGTTTCTATGTTGTATCAGAATTTATGAATATTTCATTGTTCTTTAGTGCTGCACAGTGTTATGGTCCAATAAAAATTATCTAGGTGCTTAAAAAAAAAACCAACCCAAAACAACCAAACAATAAACAAAAGTTCAAACTTTATTGCTGTCAAATCTGAACCAATTCATAGCTGACCCTCCAGTGGGTTTTCAGTGGCTGTCTATCACATGGGAGGAAACTGTTCATCTTTCTCTAGGGAGCCGCTGGTGCATCTGTACGCCAGAGAGCATGGCATGGCCATTTGTGATTACTTCCTACATCTACCTAGGAAAGAATTATAATTATTCTCAGGTTTTTCAAGCTTCACTTTTTTGGCCTGAAGAGAAATTAAAGCATATCCTTTTATTATATAGGCTT